TGTCCTTGAGTGATGTCACTTATGTCAGCATAAGTTGAATCTGAAGACTAAAGGTTTGAAAATGAAATAATTTTTGGGTGTGGAGTCAGAATGAAGGGGCCAGAACTCTGAAGCTCGCTCCTCATCTCTGCTTGAGGTTCGAGGCTGCAACAGCTGCTTAGCATAAAACTCTCTTAATCTCTGACCAAACTGTCTGCAGTTGGAAATTATTATTTGGAAATTATTTATTAGGAATAACTAACACTCAAGGGGGTCATCAACGACAATAGTACAATATACCAACAATTAGACGAAAGATTTAACAAAAATAACATGTGACGACCCCTCCCATCCACTAGGGGTCTGTGTCCTGTTTGCTGCCTACTCTGTCTTTCAGGATGTTGATCAGCAGCTAACGAGCACCGCCTGAGCCTGCTGGAAATGGCCAGCTATAAAGATGCACCACCTGAACATGGCGAGGTGCCTCCCCTCCTCTCCTCTCCGACTCTCACGGCAGCTGCTTCATTTGATTGATTCGTTGGTTGTTTGTTTCTTTGTTTTAGTTTAGTTTGGTTCATTAAATAAATGTCTATTTATTACTTTTATCACTCGTCTTGTCTCCCTTATGTTGCAGCCTTTGAGCCAGGTCGTAACAAACAAGACAATTGAATGATACAGAATTTAAAAAAAAAACAGCTTTCCTAAAGCGTTTTACTTTTAGACTGTAGGGATATAAAAAAGAGCTGTATAAAGTATCTCAGTTGAGTAGAAAAGGTACCATAAACTATTTTAAATAGTGAGGGTGATTGAAATGTACACATTTAAAAGTAAATTGCAGTCAATGTCACTGTCTACTTATGATGGGAGAGGGAAAGTTAAGAGTTTTTATACATTGTACAATGATGAGTTATAAAAAGAATAGACAAGAGAAAATCTGCATAGTTGGCTCCCGGTGGGTCAGTGCCAGTGCTTCACATTTGTAGGTGGCCGGAACCAGCTCCCAGTTGACCCCTGGCCCCTGGTAACTCCGGCCTTGGATCACGGCCTCCACACCGCGTCCGGTTGCAGAGAGGTCCGGAAGCGGTCAGAGAGAAAACACACAATGAAGTCTCCTGATCTACTCCCACACCAGGGCCCACAGCCTGCTCATGCTTATTACATCCACACAAAGCAAGATGTGCTCCCCCGCTCAATCTCATAGACCGGGACCTGAGCATGCCATTGATGCACAATGGAATAATAAAACTCACTCTCGGGCAGCTAACAGTGTGGAAAACAAATAATTTGCACACACAATTAGGTTATTTTCATGCCGTGATGGGCCAAGTCCCTCTGATGGGGAATCCTACGCTTGGTCCTTTGAAGTACAGGACAAAGATTATGAGATGGAGGAGGAGCTGTCCATCAGGTTCAGTTGAGATGACAACTGATGCGCATGACTTAATTAATGTCATTCTATTCGCTTCTGTGTGTGGTTTTGTGTATAAAGCTCGATTCGTCCAGTGTGAGGGGAGAGAGTAAATGTGCTCTTGTATCGGTTATGAGAAATGTGTGAATGGATGGGAAAATGTAGCTTGTCATTGTCTGTGTTTAGATGGCGGCCTGACTCACCACTCTGTGCTGCCAGTCACGTCAACATTCCTGCCACCATGTTTGATTTGGAATGGGTACCCTGGAACAATAACTTTATTCCTCAGTTGCACTGCCAGCCTATACTGCTGAGGCAAAGTTTCCTGTATGCTTTTGGACTGGGTGCTAATCTTCACACCTCATATACAGTAAAGAGGTATTTTTATCCCTCTGCATCTTTTCCCGGCAACACGTACATCAAGTATGGAAAGTTTTAGGGATTTGAATAACACTACAGCCTCTGCCTCTGTCTCTGCCTCATCACTTTCTCTTTGATACACGCTATGTTGCATGTGTTATGTTAGTAATCTAAAATCAACACAACGTAATGTCAAAAAAGAAGCAGCACACAGAAACTGTTGCTGGGAATATACAGTAGTACAAGGACACTCTTACTTTGCCTCAGGAATATGAAATAATAAAAATCTTTCCTTTGATTACCTTTACCTTTACCTTAAAGGTACCTGCAAACCAGGAGATCATGCCGTTTTTCCTCACAGCATGCAGACCCCCTGGAGCATGTATACATGTTTTACCTGATGTGCCGAAAAGTGAAAGCTCAGGGAATCTAGGTTAAGATTCAAATAACGACCACTTCAAAATACGATTGATGACTTAACTGTAATTTCAAAGATAATTTATTTGTTGTTCATTTGTGCAACATCGTCTGTTGTTAACTTTCACTTTTAAATCTGTAGATAAAAATATATATGTACAGTAAGTTAAAACATTAAAGTTAAAACGTGAAAGATCTTGACATTAGATAGATAAGAAGATAGATAGAATAACTTTTGGATGGATAGATAGATAGATAGATAGATAGATAGATAGATAGAAACTCTTTCAACCAACTCAAAATCATTAATGCAAGCAACCCAACAGAGGGAACCCAGAACAAATTAAGAAAGTATAAGTTCCAAATAAATTAAATTATTTATAAGAAAACTAAATTCCTGATACACAGACTTCGACAACAACATTTTCACCAAGCAACAAATCTGGTAAATTGGCAAATCAAATTAACAAAGGCTTTGGGGAATCATTTATTAATTGGGTTAAGGTTCTGTACACTACCTTCAGTCACGGACATTATCAATGGACAAACCTCACAAAGTTTCACACTGCACAGGAGGACTAGGCAAGGATGCCCACTCTCTCCCTCACTATTCACCATTTTCATTAAACCATTAGCTGCATCCATTCATCAGAAGATCTATATAAAAGGGGAATCCAAACACTCAACACAAAACATAAGATCAGTCTTTATGCAGATGATATATTGCTCTTCCTTCAAAACCCCTACTCATCCCTGCATTAAACTATTCAACTTAATGAATCATTCTATAATATCTCTGACTACTCCATTAACTAGAACAAATCACCCATCCTTAGTAACAGTTGGGATGTGGCAGCCCATACACCACCTATCCCTTTATGCACAGGTCCCATCATGTATTTAGGAATAGAAATTTCCCCCAGGCTGCATGAGCTGTTCACCTTCACTACTCAAAATAATAAACGATGACCTTCTTCTCTCGATGAACCTACCACGATCACTTATGGGCAGATTAGCTACAGTTAAAATGACAATACTGGAAAAATACTGGAAAAATACTGGAAAATTAAACTAGCTACTTTCCAAAACAGGAAAACACAAGGAGGACTTGAAGCCCCACATTTCTTTCCATTATTCTCAGCAAATCAACTTCTACAGTTTGTGAAGACATTCAGATTTTAGATTTACCATTTCTCAGCCTAGTCTATCAAACGTCATCTTTGTCTCAGAAGATTTACAATAGCAGAAAATCTAAAAGCCTGGAGGAAATTCCACAAAATCACAAACACCACTTTTGCACCTTCAAATTGTAATCCCATCTGGAACAATCCTGATTTTCTAAGCTACAAGAAACCACTAAATTTCCACACTTGGTCCGATAAAGGCATCACATATCTGATACACATGTTCAGTAGTAATATCCTGGTTTCATTCACCCACTTGGTCCAGAAGTTCGGCATTGGGAGCAAACAATTTATGGAATATCTGCAATTTAAATCATCTGATCAATCAAAACATTAAGACCACTAGAACTTCCCTCCTCAATATCAGAATTAACATCCCCTCCTCAAAAAAGTTAATTTCAATGATGTAGAATAATATCACTGTCTGACAAAACACTATCCATACCATCAAGAAAATAGGAATTATCACTACTGCTGCCGACTTCTGGAACCGAATATGCTTCATGACTAAAAATGCCAATCTACAACTCATACTCTGTCAGAAAATGTCTAAAATGGGATTCACGTCAGACATCTGTTCAAATTGCACACAAAATAGCCTGGATAGCTATATTCACGCCACTTGGCACCGCACACCAGTTAAATATTTTTTGAAAGAAATGACTGAGCCACTATACTAGTATGTGGCTGCCGCATCCCATTATCCTCTTCACTGTGCTTGCTAGGAGACATATCAACAATTAATCAGAAAAACAAACAGCCGATTACTCCTAGTAGCCCTAACTATCATCAAGAAAAATATTTTCATGAAATGGAAATCAAGGAATACCACACTGGAAAAACTTAATGATAGAATGCATTTCAATGAATAATCTAACCACCTCCATCATACACTATAACAGAACATCACTCCATTTGGTCATCCTTTATGTTTTCACCACCCATCCTATTAATATTAAAATTACAGTTATTATTATTTATTCATTTATTATTTTCATTTATTTTTTATTTTATTTTTGCCACCAATTGAAATCCACATACAAACATACATAATCATATATATATATTATATTATATATAATCTCATATTAGTTATGACGATATTATATTACTGAAAGAATATATTACATTTTTTGTCACTATTTCTGACTATGTTATATTGGTATTGAGATGATATTATTATTACAGTTAATAACATTATTTTCTATTATAAGAAATGTTTGTACTCTCTTATTTATTTGGTTATCACCCCTTCCCACACATTATTCTCAGTCATTATTTTATTTGATGTATTTACATACATATATAGATATATATGAATATAGATACAAAACAATACAAAAATTACAATTAAAAACAATAAATGAATACATATTTATCAAAAAATACAAAATGAAACAATATCTGGTTGACCCTGCCCGAGTAAACCTGCTGACCCGTTCTGGAGCTCCCTGACAGTGCCTGGTTATGCTTCGCTGCCAGTGGACAGGGGGGGCCCTGGTCCTGACTTTAATATTTTTGTTAGTGTTAAACACACATGTTTATTGATTTTTATTATTGTAATGTCTGTTATTTACCATTTTCATTTACTTTTTGTCTATAGCTCACACACACACACAATGTAGCTGGCCTGTATTCACTGTTCTTGTCGTCCTCTTGCTGTTCCGTTTATGTATTATAAATAAATGCATAAAAAAATATTTTCTTGCCCTCCAAATCTGTTAAAATATAAATTCAGAACACAAATGTGATACATCTCATTTAGGTATCTGTCTTTAATCACAACATTTAAATATGTGGAACATTTAGTAAAATGAATGTACTACAAGTCTGTTTTTATAATTTTCTTTAATTCATTTTGGATTTGTTTGACATTGCCATACCCCCAATCTAAGAGAAATAAATTGCATTAGTTCTGACTTGTTATGTGCATAACACTTATCCAGTACTTTGATTACATTGTTTCCTTAATAGGAGAAACTTGTTTGCTCTTGCAACATCAGAGAGTTTATGTAAAAGCCCAACCAGAGTCAAACTGAAAAATACAACAATGCCGATTTCTGAGAAATGGGCTCCCTTTCCTGGGAGCATTTATTAGTGTCAACTTTGCAAGTCAATAGGCGTTGAGAACAAAACGGTCATATAAAGTACATGGATATTTTAAGGCCATATAACTGATCAATGACATTGTAATTCTGAACAACAGTACAGCTAAGTTATTAATGCCATTTCCAATTACCTAAAGCCAATACGCAGACTGGAGTAAAAAAAATAAAAATAAAAATTTAAAAAAAATAAAAACTATCGGTAAAACAATACTGAAGTAGGAACATTGGATCAAATGAGTCAAGATCAATCACAAATTTCACTGGGAACATCACTGCTATGCCTTTGTAAAACACTGGGACATCCGTATAATTTCAGTAGCAGTTGATCTAAGGGAACATTAGAAATTTAATGTAAACGACTATGTAGTTAAAATTGTAAACTAACCTTCAAGTATCAAGTTTCTGAGGTCATTACTGTAACAATAATTTATAATACAATGAATCTTTCAATAAATAAACACAACCACAGACTTTAGTTCTTGAAAAGCAGACAAAATTACATATTAAAAAAAATGTTGTGTTATAAATAGAATACAATAAATACAAAAATAAATAAATAAATAAAAAAATATGCTTAAAAAATAAAAATAAATTAGAGCTCAGTAGTCCTGTCTTTCAAAATGACTGTGGGGTTGATATCACTGTCGCGTGAGTGGGATGTGCTTGAGTTGATGATCATGGACCCTGTGTCTTTGACGTCGGGTACATAAAAGGATGCCACGGGACAGGGGCCCTGGACGTTATTGCACACGAGCCTCTGCAGGGAGGCGGTGTTGACGATGTTGAAGCCCACGCTGCCTCCGAATGTGCTCGGCTTCCAGTACTCCGGGGAGCAGATGGGGTTCCCCATTAAGCCCTTGAGAGAGTAAGGGGCCCCCATCTCCACCATGGTCTCCCCAAAGATTGCGTTCGACCTGGGCTTCTCCACCAACAGACCCGGGTAGAGCTCCACAGCGTCGACGTGTCCGTAGAACTCCTCAAGCACTGCGGCCATTTCTTTCTCTCCTGAGTAACACAAAAGAGGACATAGTTTTAGTTATCTGGCTCCTATCACTCACTCGGCAGCTGCAAAGCTTGCTGCTAATCTAAATATGAGCTCAGTGTTTTGACCGATTCAAATCCAGCCCAAATAGTAGACGGGTTTATGCACTTGTCTTTCTTACAAGCACACACAGCCTGATAGAATTAGTTTTTAATTAACGTTAAATCCTCTTTAATTTAACTTCTCGTCTGAAGCGTGAGGCCTCTCTTGTCTGTTTATGTGTTGCTCTCTGTGATGACAATCTGCTTATGTTATCTCAAGACTAAATGAACATCTGGTTCTGAGTCACGGAAATAAATTCCAAACCTCCACAGCTGCTGGACACTAAAACTAAGTCCATATCATTTCTTTAATATAAGTGATCTATTACTTTAAACTTCGTTCAAGCTCACAAATAACTCCTGCAATCAGTTCATGACAATGTTATCAATAATTTGGCCTGAGGCAACATTTCCTTACACTTCACAATGATAATAACCTCTTCACTAATCCTCTAACGTCATCGTTTCCACCTGCAAGTACTGTACATATTGTGACTTTGTCTCACCTGTAAGGTCTTCAAAAGAGCTGTAGGGCTTCAAGGAGAAGCGTTTCCTGTAGGCGTTCAGAGACTGGTAGCGCATTTGTCTGCTGTTTTCAATGGACTTAATGGCCACGTACATGAGAGGTCCTGGCACATTTCGGCCGCCAGCAACCTAAAAGAATTAATAGAGTCAGTAAATCAGCCTTAAAGCAACAGTGGTGTTACAAGCTGAATCTAAATGTTTCTCAGACAGTTCTTACCCGTCCAGCAATCTGATTGGTAAACGACTCCACAAGGCTGCTGATGCCGTGCTCGGTGACTACGGAGGTGTTGAAGACAAACTGTTTATAGCTGTAATCTTTCTCCTCAATGTGGAAACTCTCAGGCATCAGAGGGTGCCAGTGGTACAAGGTGTTGAACTCGGATGCAATGCGATTCTGGTACTGGAAGCGCTGGTTGATCAACAGCTCGGGATCAAACTTGAGCTTGAAGTTATAGCCGCTCAGGTGCTGCACGTAGTCCTCGATCACAATCTTGATGGTCTCTCCTACAGGAAAAAAAGGAGGACATTTTTCATGTATAGCAGATATTATAGATGTTTGAAGTCCCTCTCTGCTTACAATGCGTGTTGCTTCTTGTAAGTTTGATGAGGAAACTTGAAAGCGCCAGTGTACAGACAATGAGAATAAACTTTAGGATTAGGAGAAATCTTGTCCAGCAGTTGATTTATGATTGAATAATAAATATTTGCACAAATGTTTATGAATATTTCAATGAGGGAGTACATGTAGGTGTAAGAATTTGTATCTAGATTATCTGCTTTTCTGTGGAAAATCTATATTAGACAAATAATTATTCAAGCAATGTCATTTTTATGTCTTAAAACATGTTTGGATGGGATCTTTAAATCAGTCTGGTGATGAGTAATAGTTGGTGAAATCAAAAACCAAACATATCCTCTTTCTAGTAAATCATTTTTCTCAAGGTAGAGCTCAATTGCGCCACTGTGTACAATAGGGTTGCTGGTTGATGATTAACGAAACTTCCTCATTTCTTAACTACCACTGTAACTACATTAATACTATCAAAAGTGCATTAGAAGCTTTTCTTGTTGTTTTGACAGAATTTTTCCAGCAAAAGTTTTAAAAACTTTCGTACACAAACTCACCAATCAGAATTAGCCGTGTGGTCTGGAAGAGCCTTTCGTCGTCCCAGTCCGGGTGGACCTCCTTCAACACATCACACACTCTGTTGTGTTCTCGTAGCCAGATGGTGGCGTACATCATCAGACCAGGGACTAGGCCGAACGCCTCGTGGCCCACAGCGAAGCGGTGAGAGTGAGGAACGTGGGGAGGGTAGTGCATCTCAGCGCCTACTTCCTTTACTGTAGGGGGGTACACCTCTCCATCCAGGATCTGCAGCATTACGCAAGAGAGGAAGCAACTTTTAGACACTTGTGGTTTGAAGCATTTGGCTGTTTAAACTACTGGCAATCTGTCGGTCTTCACATACCTGATATTTAAGCTTGCCATCCTTTAAGAGTCTGAGCTTGTGTTGCCTCTCGAGGCCGTCTCCATAAATGTGGTTGAGGTCCACCTGAAAGCAAACAAATCACCATAAATACAAGTAATTCACAAATCTCTTTTCTCTCCTTCCTGACTAAAATCTGACAAGGCTTGAAATCTGCTATGCTTACCCCGTGGCCTTTAGCTACAGTAAAAGCAGGTCCTTTCTTCATATCAGATTTGAAGAACTGATGGGTGAAATGCTGTGCGAAGAATGCAAACATCAGACTGGTGCCCTGTGGATCCGGAATGAACTGTCTTCTCATTAGAAGTTTCTCAGCCAATAGCTTAGCATCAGGCAGCTCCTTTTTACCTGGGAACACAACATTACAGTAAGCATACAGCACTATGATACAGAACCAAGCCGGTTTAACTTGGATGAAACATATTAACGTTATTGAAACGTGGTGATTTACTTTTACGAAAAGCAACTGTCATTATAAATTCCTGATACACGTCCAATGTGGTTTTCTGTTCTTTAGTTTAGGCTTGCTGGGGCAGGTTTTTCTGTGTTCCCTCAGCACATTTTGTTTCATTCAATCCAACATAATGTGAGCACTGCTCGTGATGCAATGAGGCCAAGCTACTCTTGCTCAGTAGTCAAGAATCTGAGAAAACTGGTTCTCCAAAGGCAGAGAGTGAAACTCACCTACTACTCCCATAGGGGTTGGGCAATCCTCTGGCACAGGGGGGAGGGTCCGCGTATAGTAGGAGAGGTTGGAATATGCTTCCCAGCTTTTGTAACCATAATCTGCATTGAAGGTCGGAGGACTATCAATCAAGTGGGATCGAGCTAGAGTGGGAAAAAAAGCATTTCATTATTAGTTACAACTGCTTCTCTACAAGCTGCAATACAAATTATTTAATGTGAAAATCCATCTTCTCATTTTGCATTCAGCTAGAAACACTTACATGTCAGCACATATCTCATGATGCCATCCCTGAGGAAGGAGATGTTGTTGATAATGTTCCAGAAGCCCTTGAAGTGGGTGAGAAGGTAGTGGATAGTGTTGGGTGATGGCTTCAGGGATATTTTGACCCAGGTGAGAAATTCAGCTGTACAAGCCAAGAGGAAAAAGTTAATTGACCAAATTACTAGAATAAATAGATCCACATTTTACATTCACCTCATTGTGTGCCATTCATACTTACGTGTTGTGCAGTTTTGTCCATGATATCCTGTGCGAGTGCAATCACACTCGTAATTATCAGTTCCAAGCGCTGTGCAAACACCCCTGTTGTGACATGGCTCTGAACAACACTGGTTACCTGTGACAGAAAATGGTTCACTTCAGGTACCAACTGTTACAAAAGCCTCAAAATGTAATTGAACCCAAAAACTCTACAATATTCGTTACTCTGTAATATAAACCTCTGAGCTATGACATACTTTAATGGTGTTGCTGGCTATCATATCCATTTAAATGCCATAGAACATATTGAGTGGTTTATACTTATGTCTTCTGATATAAAGATATACAAAATTACAAAAAGTAAAAAAAAAAAAAAAGAAAACGAATGCAAAACTTTCGACACCTAAAACCGAACTTTTAACAATGCTATCTTCTGTGTAATTTTCAGTTTCATCTACTTACCCCCTTCGCAGACAAGACAACCCAGAGCCAGGAGGAAAACTGCAAATGTAAATCTGTACATAGTCCAAAGACTTTTGTCGGCTCTCGTTTTTCTTTCCTTCTCGCTCCTTTACGCCGCAGTGGTGTCGCTGTGAGGCCAACAGTCTGAATGCCAACCTGCTCATTGGAGCACCTTTATATGCCTGCCTGGAGAAGGGTGACGTCATTTAGTCGGCGCATCCGTTCGTTTTTTTAAATGAACAGACGCGGCTATGAATACATCGACCACATACCAGAGGAATATTTTTTCTTTCACAATCTCAACTCCTCTACGTTTCTAATTATGTTGTTTTGTGTGTTTTGGCACCAAGCTGACTTTACCGGCAACGCTTTGGCAACAAATATTGAAAGTGTCAGCTTTCATTTGTAATTTGTATTTCTTCCCATACAAACGACAAGTTGTAGAGTTTGTGATTTTAATGAATGTGTCCTAAGTGCTACAGAATGCAGCCACTTTTTAAATATTAAAGATACATTTCCCCTGAATATCTTAATTATTCAGACTACATTTCCACCAGAGGACGACTGTAATTCAAGATGATAATAAGTAATTCAAGATGATAACATGCAACAAAGGAAATATCTGACAAATGGAAATAAAGAGATTCTCTCTGAGTTGAGGTAATGTAATTAAAATGATTAAATGTACAGTATAAAACCTCAAGAGCCACGGGTCCCTGTTGGCATCAATGCCATGAGCTTTCGCCCTTATTCATTGTCTAAAATAATTATTACTTAAAATAACCGTGCTTCTTGAGAACATTTGATGGCAATACTGCATGAACAAATAGACACTTTATTGAATTATAATTGTGTCAATTATAATTCTAATCAATGTGTGTCTTAAAACAAAGGTTGGAAATGACCAGCACAGTGATACAAATGGGAATATGTTACTAATATTCTTATTTTAAGCGTCACCCCTCTGTCATGTTCTCGGGAATTCACAAAAAAAAAGTGTATTCTGTCGACACAGTCAGTCTTTACGCGCCCTCACGTGGACATCATTGCGCACTGGTGCGCATTTGCAGAGGTGGAGAACTCTGGAGCCGACTGCTGACTCAAAATCGGACACTTGAAGTTTTCCGTAACTCATTCCTGTTTGTCATGTTTTTAAAATAAACATTTCAAACTGAGAGTTATTGTTAGTCTTCTGCGTGTAGTTAGATTTTTTTAGATTTTCGCTTAACTTGTAGTTTGGTACTGCAATCCTGCTGACTGCCGTGCGCTGTTCATGTATTGAGAAGCGCCTCCTCCTTCTTCAGTCCTGCAGTGTTGGATATTCTCGAGCATGACACAATTTTCTGTATTTGCTCTACAGTTAAGGTACGTTTAAAGTTGTTGTTTTTCATTTACAGTGGATTTTTTTGTGCTGATATAACAGCAAGTTTGGAGAGGAAGGTCAATGCCAGTAACAGTTGCGGTTTAACCAGTGTCTTTGTGAGCCTTTCACTTTACGCAGCTCAGAGGATAAGGAAACGCGCTATTGCCAACACTTACGGAGCAATAATACTTTATTAATTCGATTGGCAACAGCTTTTATTTCGCATTTAATATGGCAGACTAGAGTGAAGCGAACATCTCCATATTCATAAATATTTCTTTTTTTTGTGTTCACAACATTGCAGATTGATAGCTTACGCTATCATCCCTATTGTCTTACATTATCTGAGGCAATGCTTTCATTGCAGGTTGCAAACTCACCATCCAGCGTCTTCAGATCTGACCTTATTCTGCCTAGAATCAGGAAAAACCTGTTAATGTGGCCTCATTTTTTTGTTTTGGCGAGAGATACCTTGTCATAACATTGCAGTGTTATATTTCTTTTGAAAAAAGCAAAGTGATTCATAAAAGTGAGGGTTTTTTTCTTTACTTCAACTTTTACCTTCTACATCTCATGACTACTTGTACAGTTGGATACATTACTGTATGTCTTTAACCATAATCCAAACCCAGAGGTATACTTTTTGACTCACAAGAGCTATATTCTATCACTTTTTCAACACTTTGTCAATCAATCGGTTCCTAATGACATCATTGTTTTCTGTTTCTCTTTTAATTCGTGTTTTTGTAAATACCAATGTATTGGGGTCCTGGGAGCCCCTAGTCAAAACCACCCTGTTCTGCCTATGCAATTTGCCATTGTGTACTAATTTAAAGTATCACATACTGCAGGTCAGTGGTTTTGAAGGAGACAGACAAAGATGGAGCACACACGGATTTCCTCATGTGCACTGTCTATTTTCATTTTACACAATATGCAAATGAACTGTAACATTCCTAAAAAATAATTATCTGTGCTTTTTCTTCAGATGACATTAATCAAATAAGTTATAATGTTGTGAGAAGAAACAAGTTCATATTTTTGCTATGATGGTCATTTCTTACAGTAGTTTTTGGGGTCCCGAGTCAAAAGTAAAGAACGTAACATTACGTTCAATATGTTGGTAGGATAATTTACTGTAGCTATTTTGCATCATGGCCGATCTCTTACACTTTTTGCGTCCACATATGAAAATCTACTGTAGTGCTGTGGAAGCCTCTGGGTTAGGTTGGTACATACAGCACTCAGCAGACTGCATGCTCTCATTGTACACCGCAGAACAAGGGCAGAGTGAACTGGCACTTGCAAAAGTTGGACCACTGATGCGAACTACGTGACCAGAGCACGTAGTCTGTGTGTGAACACACAGACTACGTGCTCTCAGTCCCCACAGTAATGATACGCTTTGGTGAACAGCTGAGAAAAGGCTTGCTGACCTTGATATGCTATCACCAGCACCGACACTCACACATACACACCCTGTATGCAAATTTATTTTCAACATATGTATGTCTAACAATTGTAAAGAGAAATCCTCAATGTTGCTAAAAATAATAATCTCACCACTTCTTCTGTAGATGCACACCTGCCTATACATACACAGATTGTACTGTATGTTATACACACACCATCTTTGTTGATTTATATCTGTCACCTTTGGCATTAAAGTTGCATTCCTATTTACTTCCGTCTTTTTCTTTCTCTCTCTTTACATATGTGGTGTACTTACACTCACACATACATAAATAGTCGCTATTGGCCATACCTCCTATCAAGGGTTTGTGGTTCAGCACACTTCCTCTTGCCCCTGTCAAGATATTTCAGAAGCAGCTTTGGCTGTTTTGCTCCGTCAAGAAGTTTCAGTAACATGCCTGATTGTTGATGGCGATGCAATGTTGTTGAAATCCAGTGAAAACATTTTAATGGTAATCTTGTCTGTCTGCTAAAGCTGTTCTCCTGCATTTGCACTGATAATACATGTTTTTGTTTCACCTTCCAGTTTCCAAATGCTCCAGTTCTTGTCTGAGATGTTCTCCTGAGTTAAAATTCACATCTTGACGAAGGTTTTCCTGAGAATTACTCACCTGACAACACACAATGGCTTCCAATATAAGCGTGAGTATTGCCATGTACAGCAAAACCAAACAGATTCCAGTGGTTTCAATCATGGCCCAAATCACTCCATAGCAGGGCTTACCTTATTGTTTTTTTTAATAGTACAGTAGAATAATTTCACTCGTATTGCTCCAAAGCAAAATCTCAACAGCAAGGCCTTTTCATGATCACAGCAGCAGGCGGCATGTGGGCTGTTTTAAGCAGCAAAGATTAGCATAAAATAATCTGTGTGATACCCTGAATGACAATTTCACATCTGTTAAAAGTCCCACTACAATTTCTGCTTTAAAGACTTGTAAATGGGGTTGAAATCAAATAATCCCTCCTACATAAGGGTATGCAACAGTCAATCACACACAATCATCCACTTGTGTCCCTCATGAATAGTCACTCCTTAAATACAGTGAGTACCAGATGTTAAGATTTCTTTAGAAAGCCGGAGAATTCTCACTGCCTATGAGGCTGACAGAAAAAAAAACACATGTCACAAAAATGCAAAACAACTTGTTCATCCAACATGTGGGTTCACTGTGAAGGAAGGACAAAGTAACATTGTTTAGACATTAATGACCTCCAAAAGATGTCTGTATTTTAACTGAAGTATCTCTTATTTTTCAACATTTAAGATTGGCGGCATTTGCACAAACTTCGAGGTGACCTTTAAACTTTGTTTGGGAACACTTTTTAATACAGCCCACAATTTACAGTGTAATTTTATTCTATAAATCAGACACCAATAACATACTTATTTACGTAGGTACCTACTGGTACTTAAATGGAGGTACAGTGGAGGAAAACAAGTCTATGGAGAACAACAACAATTTGGCATTTTAGAGGAAAGTACTAGTTGCCTTCCAGTTACAATGATCGGGTATAAACCTGCAGTTTGTGAAAAATATTATTGTATTTTGGAAATTATTAACTTATGTCACAATTACGATATGCTACCAAACCACGGGAGGGTGACATGAACGGGGGCTGTGGCAAAATCCCTTGGTTGCTGAAAAATATATAAAGTAAATCGATTATGTTCACAAAGTAACGACAAGTGTCGAAAAAATGGTGCTGGCGTACAGAAATGTAGTTTTGGATTAGGAAACTCTGAGAGAACGGGTACAAATCTTAACTTACTAATGAGTGACATCCCAATTATTTATGGAGTACAGCAATATATTTGATGTACAGTTTATGTTCTTGGATTGACTACAGTGCAGGTGCTGTTCCTCATAATAAGAGATGAAATATACAACATACTTTTGCCATTTCTTCAAAGCAGTTACCAGTTAAAGCTTTATCAGGCAGCAATTCCAAAAATAGCCCTTCAGCATAATGCCATTAAGGTGAGAGAGAAAGCAGCTCCTCTTGGCTCTGTTTTTAGGCTTCAGAAAATCTAGCTCATGCCTGGAGACTTTGGCCAATCACAGGTCATCTCAGAGAGGGGGCGTTCCTATTGGCTGTTCTACAAATGCAGATGTGCGTGCACGTCCCTTCAGATTGTCAAAACCGGATTCATTACAGAAAGTCCTGCAGAAAAGTTGTTATTCCAGCATTGGCAACAACTGCCTACGCTGCAAAGCAACCCACAAAAAGAAAGATTGCAATTTCATCGCCTCAAGTTAGACCCCAAGCTTGTTGCTGCTTATGCATATGCCGTGCTCGTGTGGTCGGAGGGGCTTAGGACAGAGAAGAGAGGAGAGTTGTAGGAAGAGACCTGCATTTTTAATTCCTGGAGTTTTTTCTTTTTCCTTTTACTGATAACTGCCTACCCCAGCTTAAACGTTTCACAACCAGGAAATGTTGCTTTCACCTGCCAAAAACTGCCAGAACAAAGTTAAACAACTTGTTCCCTTGTATTCTCCTTATGTACAAGAAGGCACTGGTAAGTATTTTATTGTTACCTGAACAAATGAACTCTATAAATCCCAAGCTTAATATTGTGAACACAGCTGGGAAGTTAACCCTGAACAGCAGATGTGATAGTCAGCCTGCCAAAACCCTAGATGTTCTCACTGATTGACACCGTGAATCCTGCATCACATTTCATCACTAGATTTCATTAATGCAGTACGGTTTATGCACCTACTGACCTGTGTGGAGGGATTCTCCCACATGAGACAGTTATCTGAACTGAATGAATGTTGCATTGCAGGTGGATCAGCAGTTTTCTCACAAATTCACAGTGACGGTGGTTCGAGCCGAGAACGTCACCAAGGGAGCGCTGGGTGACCTGTGTGAGTTTTGATACATTGCTGCCCCCATGCCTCCCCCATTTGCTTGACATTTTTTCAGAACATGTTGCATGCATGCAGTAGCTATTTTCACTGGAATTGTTTCTATGTGGTTGTGAACTTTTCACAAAAAACTATTACAAATGTACACATGATTTGGATTCTGCTATTCAGTAATACTGTTGAATTTGTGTGCGTGTGCAGTGGACACCCCAGATCCATATGTGGAGCTGTTCATCCCAACGGCCCCAGAGAGCAGAAAGAAGACCAAGCACATAGACAACAACATCAACCCAAAATGGAACGAGACCTTTAACTTCATATTAGATCCCAACCTGCGGAACGTCCTGAAGGTTAAGACCTGAATTTATTGTCTGCATTGCACATACTATAGCCGTACGGGAGGACAAGCAGGGATGTAGTGGAGAGTTAAATGTTACCATCATAGAAATTAATATCAGAATGACTCTTCTTGGTAGTCATTAAGGTAATCTAAGAAAAAACGAATAAATTAAGTATTTTTTTGAAAGTCTACATTGATCTTTGTGTAACTTCTTGACCAAACTGAACCGGACTTTAACACATACCAGCATGATAACTAACTATTTAACTGACAATGTTTACCCCAATCAGTTAACATTAATGGACGCCAACTATGTGATGGATGAGACGCTTGGGACTGCGACCTATGACATCACCAAGCTCAGCGTAGGCCAGACAAAGATGGAGCCTTTCCTCATCGGCAAAGTAAGAAATTCAACGGCAGCAGAGTGCTTTGGCTGTTTCATTATTATGAACTCATGTTGTGCAGGCGAGCGTTGGTAAAACTTACAGGAGCGTCATTTAGATTCTAGTGAGGATTCCACGTTTTCCAAAGAAATGAAATATGTGAAGATGGATTACAAGGAAATGAAATGTTACATTCAATATGATATTGCATATTACCAACTGAAGACATACTGCATGTGTACAAAGACTAGAATGTGGCAGCAGAATAACTCTTGAGTTTTTGGGTGTTTGATTTGAACAGATTAATTAAATGATACAATTCTACACAATTATAAAGCGATTTATGACATTTCTATTTAAATAATGCAATCATTTGGTAAATGATGATTTGCAGAAAGTTAACCATTCCCGTCCCTTTCCTTTTTATTTTCTTTTTCACGTCATAGATTTTGTTTGCAGAATTACCTATTTTGCTGCTTCTTTACTGGACGATAACCACATTTTTTTGTTTTGACAGGTAACCAAAGTTTACTTAGAGATGTCACTAGAGATCTGGTATGTATTCCCTTTCGAAATCTAAAAAAATGTCTCAGTATATTAGATTAAGTTTTACAGCTATAATTGTTTTTCACAGTTCACTGATAAATCTAAAGGCACTTGTGTGAAATGGCGATACTGGTTGGATGTGAGTAAAGGCTTGTGAACAAATCCGTCACAGGTGCAAGAATACACAGGTATTCAAAAATGCAGCGGCGCAGTGTAAACTAAAATTAGAACTTAAAGCAGTGTGACTCAGTAACAAGAGGATACTTGTGCAAGATGATATAGGGTTAAAATGCATAATTCCTGTGGCATCACTACACAGGCGTAAGTGGGAGGATTTGGAAATGCCATACATATTTGAAGGGTTTATAATTATGAGCAACAGTAAAGGGTGTTGTTTATCAGTAGATGCATGTTTCACACCAGACCATCCCAGTGGCAGATCTTATCTGACCTAAAGACTAGTTTCAACATCATCAGTAGTATCACATACACACAGAGAGAGATCATATCTTCTATCTGCCTCTCAGCAGGAAATGTAAAACACAGGTTATTGTTTGAATTCCCACAATCAGATTGTATTAAACCTTATTTCCGTTGTTTGTTGCTGCAGTACCAATCTGGACCTGCGGTTCAGCCTGGCCCTGTGTGACAAAGAGAAGCAGTTCAGACAGACCCGCAGAGAGAGAGTGATGCTGGGCATCAAGAAGCTGCTAGACATGGAGAAGCCTCGTTTCCTCCCCAGCGCTCCAGAGGAGGTGGGAACAGAGCAACAGTCAAGTATTAACACAGATTTAACATGGCAAATCTTTGTATTTGAAACTTAAACAGTTTTCAGTCGTTTGTGTAAATCTGTGAGGTGACAGCTTAATTTATTCAAGCACTCAATTTCGACATCAGTTTGAACTTCACTACATATAATGCCTGATTATCAAAATTAATGTTTTACATGCGTCATGAAAAATAAGAGGCCGATGTGTGCTGACATGAAGGCAGTCAATGTCCTACTGTGTTTCTTACAATTAAATTATTTTGAAGTTTCAGCAAGCACGTTTATGCTAGTTTATGCTAATTGTTTCCTGACTGTAGCTTCATATTTAGCGTACAGAGTGGCATCTCTTCTAAAGTGTATTTCCCAAAGTTTTAAACTATTCCTTTAACAAAGTCCCGATAATGAAGTGAGGCCTGTGAGCTCCAGCCCACAGCTACACTCACATTTTGTACCATTTCTGTACCATGTTGTATCTAAAATACGTTTTTCATTATGTTGTCTCTGCTGGCCTGCCGCTCACCTGAACGCTATGCTGTGAGTTGCTGCTGCTATTTTTAATCATTTTAAAAGCTCCACCTCCAAAAAATGTAGGCTCTAAATCTACTTTCCCCAAAGGGAACATTAACATCATCACTCCCTGCTGTCTTGTGAGTCAGAGCCTATAGATGCTAAATACCTACGCTGCACATATTTTACACTCACCGTCATAATTCATTTCACATGAGCTATGAGCTAGAACTGCTGTAGTCTCTTAACATTATACATTTATAGTTAAAAAAATGATGGGTGTGATATGCTCTCATTGAACAGATTCACTGTTATGCACTTTCTAGTTAAGATAACAAAATGTAAAAAAAGGAACAATCATGCAAATCTTTAATTAAGGTCTGTTGTTCTTAGGTAATGTAATCAGACTTGCTGAATTCAAAACTGTGATGCACCTTTTCACAAAGTGTTTTCTCAGCTTATGATAACACTACGACATTCCTCCCACTGGGAAGCAAACCATAGAGTGAGCCTCACAAAACTGCAAGTTCTGCACTCCTGCTCTGAGCTAAGCTCAGTTTCATTTTCTCGTTGGTGTGGTTTTGGCTAGATGCCCTTGGGGCTGGCTGTAATCTTCCAGCCAGGCCTGCTCATGTCCTCAACTTGTGCCGGAAGCTCCATAGGAATGAGATAACCAGCTACTCTCGTCCACCATGCTACAACACTTCACTACCTATCCAGGATGACTCCTGTGGAAATATGTCTGTCAGAATATTCAGAACTGACCACGACATAATGAGATTTATAAAATAGTTCAAAATCTAAAGGCACGAGTGAAAAAATGTTGCAAAGGCGTGACGCAACTGGCTCCCTCACAGTTCAGAGGAAGTTACTCAATGTGAAAGAATGAGAATGAATGTCAGACTAATGCTCTAAACGGTGTCGTATGTAATTATGCGATTAAGCATGCTTTTGTCTTCTTCTTCCTCACATTATGACTGTCTCCTTGTGTATGTGTGTGTGTGTGTGTGTGTGTGTGTGTGTGTGTGTGTGTGTGTGTTGCAGGTTCCGGTGATAGCCATAGCAGGCTCAGGAGGCGGTTTCCGTGCCATGGTTGGCTTCTCAGGTGTGATGAAAGCTCTGTTTGAGTCTGGGGTCTTAGATTGTGCAACATATGTTGCTGGACTCTCCGGATCTACATGGTCAGTTTTTATTTCTCCTCTCTTTTTTACACCTTCTCTTTCCTTGATCCCTATAATTTCTAAAGACACGTTTTCTCTTTCTCTTTGTCATTACAGCTATGTTTATTTTGTCCTTTTCTTCTGTCTGACTCTACTCTGTGTTCCCTGCTCCTTTCACTGACAAACTTGCCTTCCTCTGCTGGTACGAAGCTGTCACATTAAGCAAGCACCTCTGGCTTGTTTCAGTCTCCACCTATATGTTTGTGGAGTGACCTACTGAATTTAATTTCCTTACAAGGGAAGAACCTCATCAACCTTGTAAAAAGCAGTGATTTTTGTTAAGCATCTATTTACTGTTTTTTATCCCTTTAGGTACATGTCCGCTCTCTACTCTCATCCAGACTTTCCAAACATAGGCCCAAAGGACATCAATGCAGAGCTGATGAAGCGAGTTAGCAGTAACCCACTGAAGCTGTTGCTGCCTCAACACATCACCAACTACATCCAGGCCCTCTGGACCAAAAAGGCTTCAGGGCAGCCTGTTACCTTTACTGATATCTTTGGTATGCTCATAGGAGAGACCCTTGTACCTGCGGTAAGAACCACCTTACAGCTGTTGTTTGTCTTAATTTTGATGGAATTACTTATTTATCCACATCCATAACTTCATGCTAAATTTCCTCTTTTCTTTGAACTGACATCCCACTAATGCCTTATTTAAGCTTATTTTTTATATTTTGTACTTGGTTTCTTCCCCTCCATTTTTTCCCTTTTTTATTTGACTTCCACTTAACCAGGACAAAGACAACTCCAACTACCTGAGAGTGTTAGTGTTTATGACTCAAAGACTGTGTTCTCTCCCACTAGAGGATGGACACCAAACTGAGTGGAATCCAGGAGAAGATAAACCAGGCCCAGAGTCCTCTTCCTCTCTTCACATGTCTGCATGTCAAGCCAGATGTTTCAGAGCTCATGTTTGCAGGTAAATGTCTGTCCTTTTTGTAAATCTGCATGTGCCTTTATGTTTGTGTTGCATGCACACCATGTCCCGCAGAGAACAATTTTGCCTATATTTGTACCTTTAGATGATCAGATGGGTTTAGCCACATGCCAAACACCAAGCTCCACCACCAGACAAGAGTCATGACACCACAATGTGTCATGACGAGGCTGGCTGTCAACTAATGACGGCTCTGTGGTGCTATATAGCAACTGTGCTATCTCAAGGAACTGAGTTGGGCATGACAGACTCTGGGTTAGTCCCATGTTGTACTTCCTCATTCTAAATGCAGCCTGAGCAGCAACTGTACACTACGCTCCAATTGAACAAACATCAAACATGTAATCTGAGTTTCTCTGTGCTATGTCTACGTTGTCCATCTGGCCATGCGTCCATGTTAGTGCAGGTGAGACCCAGCTACCACCGATAATGCCGTACAGACCCACGGCGTCATTGCGTAAGCATAACGTCCACCCTCCGTTTCCCCCTTAGGTAAACACTGTTAGCTCTGTCAGCACTGATGTCATTGTTTGCACTGTTCGCTAGCCAGGTTTACTGCGAGCTGCCGGCTCAGCCGTCGCCATGATGAGAGCAGTGTGAGGTAACCCCTCAATCCTATGCTCTGAAATTGGAATTGTCGTTTTTTATGTTTAAATGCTGCTGCTACAGTATCAACGTTTCCTAATTTCATGTTCAAATAAGGACAAAGAAATGTGTTTTAAACTGTGTCTGTTTGAAACACAAAGAAAAACTCCTGAAGCAAAATAAACTGTGATAACAACACTTACAGATTAGCTAACAATGTAATTATGTCGCTGTGCTGACCAGAACAGCTGATATCATGACTGACCGAACAATGACAGCGAGGAAATTATGAGTGAGTGAAGTGAATGGCAGAATAATGAGAAATAAAGTACAGCCCTAGGCATGCAAAAGTCTTCCTGACTGAACTCACGCTGGAGCTTCATTTGGCGTAGAGAGAAATGTAGCCGGTGACTGAATAACCCCGCTTTGATCTTATTGACCCCTGTGATTCATCTTACTCTCTGTGATTATATTGTGCATGAATCCTGTTGTGCTTGAATCCCCGTCCGGTACAGTGCACACTGCAGACAACACAGAGCTTAGCTCATATTGACTATGACTTCTGCAGACACTCTGACTATTATTGAACTATAATTACACATTAGTTTTCACTAATTCAAATACAAATGATGTTTCTCTAATTTCCATTCAGTTGTCCATTATTCAGATTTATTCAACCTACCAGAAATGAACTGCACATGCATTGTAATTCTAGTGTAAAAATGCACATGGACCAACGTGTTAGTCAGTGACAGATATGTTTCTTTTACATTAACGCTGAGGCTTCAACCTGCAGACTGGGTGGAGTTCAGCCCATATGAAATTGGGATGGCAAAGTACGGCACCTTCATGACCCCCGACTTGTTTGGAAGCAAGTTCTTCTTGGGAACCGTTGTCAAGAAATACGAGGAGAACCCTCTTCATTTTCTGATGGGTGAGAAAAAAGTTTGCATTTAAAACAGTCAGAGCAGTTAACGAGAATACACCTATTAACAGTGTGTTTTCACTGTGTCAGGTGTGTGGGGCAGCGCCTTCTCCATTCTGTTCAACAGAGTGCTGGGAGTCAAAAACACAGCTGGTGGCAGCACCATGGAGGAGGAGTTAGGTAATCTTTATGTTTCTCTTTCTACGTATGCTTTGTTCTGAGCTGCACTATTTTGGTTAAGTGCAAATATCTCAATGAATTATATTTATTGTTGTTCTCTACGTGACAATACATTTTGAAATTGTGGATCTTGAAACATGCCTTGAACATATTCTGAAATATGTGTTTAGTCATGGGTACTTGGTATGTGTGTAAGTGGGTATAGGTGTTTTTTTTCTCCAGATAATGCTTGTATGGTGCACCCGTCCACTGAAACTGACATTCAGTCGTGCCTGAGATCCTATTGTTGTCTGTATTTTCTTTCTTTTCATGGCTTTGTTTTCACACACCTGTAGGTATCCTCACACCTTTAAAAATAGCCAACCAAAAATGATCTCCCCAGATAACAACAGTGTGTTATTGTGACGTTACCACAACAGTGGGAAGGAAGCTTTTCCTGTTAAAATTCCAACAGCCAACCCCATGTTTGTTGTGTTTGAATTCATTTGTTTGGGGTGACCTTTAAACCAGTTGTACAACCACCCAGTTTAAGAATGCTTTGTCGGGTGTATTGAATTTCTCTGAGGACTTATTTGACAGAGAGACAATAGACAGGGAATTTGATAATGCCACTTAACAGAACAACAGCATTCTGTCAGGTACAGTGCTGATATATGGTATAAATAAATAAATCGTTGAGTTAAACCTGATGAGTGAAGCTGTCTTGTGTCTTACAGAGCAGATCAAACCACAGCACATTGTCGGAGAAGACAGCCTGGACAGTGAAGACGAGACACGTAAAGGTGATGTGCGCGGTTCCTACGAGGAGCTCACGAACACAGACGTGCAGTATGATTACGTTTGTTACAGTGCAATTGATATGTCTGACTTTGAATGGTGTCAGTTACTATTTTGACACATGGGTTCGAGGGAAAGTCGACGCCTTAACACATTTTCTTAAATGTCTTCGGTAATGCAACCACGGTTAGCGTGACTCAGCTACATCTGGAAATCTACTGTGGTTTCGGTCAGGCCAAGAAAAAATGCAGTTACATAGAAACATTATCAGTCATTTAGAGTCGTGCTTCTGACTGTATGATGAATGGAAGTCCAACATTCATTCAGTTCTATTTTTGGTCTACTGATGTAAATTCCTGGCTCTTCATCAGCTAAATGCTAGTCAGTAGCTGTCAGTAGCAATTCTGGTGAAGTAGATTCAATTTCATTCTGGAAGGTCGACGGGTAATTTCTCTTTTTTTGTAAACTATATCTTATTTACTTCTATTACAGGTAATGCTTCATCTTCAGAGCCACATTTCAATTCTTTGCCACGACATATGATTTGACAGTATTTTCTCTGTCATTATTTTTGGTGCTCAGGTGGGACAGAGAACCAGTACGCAGAAGAGGAGTACAGTCGCACTGCTCAGGCTAGCTGGGTTCAACGAATGTTCACGTCACTCTTCAGTGACTCATCCTTATTCAACACAAGAGAGGGCCGGGCCGGGAAGGTAACTCAATATGTTCATTCCCCATGAAACCATGAAATTATGCACTTCATACAAAACACTGCATGTGCTCCAGCTGCATTCTCGTTTCACTTTTCCTGTATTCAAATTCACAATAACCTTTTTTTTCTTTAATCTCACCCATTGCCAGGTGCATAATTTCATGCTGGGTTTGAACCTGAACACCAGCTTCCCGTTCTCTCCGGGCAATGAGATCATGTGCAACGCCACCACACCTGAAGACGAGGTGGACGCCGTCACAGGTAAGAAAGATGGTCACAAATAACTGCTTTTTCAAGGAAATGAAAAACAGTACAGGACATGATAATTTTACATGTTCTGGTTTTGATTCTTCAGTTTATTGTTAATCCTCTCTACCAATTTTTAGGAACTGTATTCAGTTGCAAAAGGAATCATATTAAAATATTTGGAAATGGATAAGAACAATGGCATAGTATCTTATTTCTTAATTTGCAAGTAGATGCATGCGAGTAATGCTTTGTTCACACTACAGCAACATTGTTCCAGTCATATTTAATGGGAGCCGTTGACATAAAGCTACAAAATTACGCCCGACACTAGTCGCTGCGTGACAGGCCTGACGCGATACCAATTAAAGTTGACCTGGCCTTAACTTTTGTCAGCGCTCCAATAACGCAGTGAAGCATCTACCAATCATTTGTTTTTGTTTCACCCCGTTCCATTCCATCTAAAGAAATGCCGTTGGCCTGTTCTCAGTGCTATTTAACAACATGAATACATCAATAAGCGCTTGAGCAACACTTCAACTGCGACTATTTACACATTTTCACAGCCTATTTACACATCTGTCTCGCATAACAGATGTCTAGCAGCAACATAATCATTCATTTAAGGTTGTGTCCTTTTAGCGCTGGTTTGGTCTCCACCAATTCCTGAAGGAAACATCTGGATCTTTAGCTCTTAAATGCTCCACTATGTTCATCGGCTAGTTGCTAAACTTGTCTGTCTGATGGTTGGTGCTGGGCAAGTAGCTTACAGTGGCCTTTTAGAACTTTTTTGCTGCAAATAGCTGTCTGCGATGAGAGTGACGAGAGTCAACCAAAACAGTAAGGTTGGGGGCGGAAAACTGAAACAATGACGCGAAAGATGCCTAAATGCTCCTTAGAGCTGAGGGGAACTGCAGAGTTGGGTGTTTGTTTATAACTACAAGCTACTTCTTTCACATTACATGAAGTCATTTTAGGCCATTGTTAATATAAAACATTATTTAGCAGAGTAAGGTAGCTTTACTATTGGTACTGAAGCACAGGTGTGGTTTAAAAATGACTTCCATTGAAAATGACGTAGATGAGTCATTACACAGTTATTTCGGTTTGATCAGTCATGTGGAATAAAATTGTCTGATTTCCCAATCATGTTTCTGCATCATTTATTTGATTTAGTATGATTTTCTCAGACCCAGATGAGTTCAATCGTATCTACGAGCCTCTAGATGTGAAGAGCAAGAAGATTCACATAGTGGACAGTGGCCTGACCTACAACCTTCCCTACCCTCTCATTCTGCGGCCGCAGCGCGGCGTCAACCTTATTATCTCCTTCGACTTTTCTGCACGACCCAGCGACACCAGCCCCCCATTTAAGGTCCGACTCAATTCTTTTTACACTCACAAATTGCTAAAAACAATCTGTCCTGACAGGGAATCATGAACATGTTTTTGTCATTTGTAAATGTATCCTACAGGAGCTCCTATTAGCAGAAAAGTGGGCTCGAATGAACAAGCTTCCATTCCCCAAAATCGACCCCAAAGTCTTTGACCGTGAGGGCCTGAAGGAATGCTACATCTTCAAACCAGAAAGAGGCGAAAAGAACTGCCCGACTATCATCCACTTTGTCCTGGTCAACATCAACTTCAGGACATTCAAGGCACCTGGTAAGTATGTGCATAGGTGGCGGTTTCCACAGCATGTGTGAGGAGGAAAATATGCCTTTGTATTGTAATATTGCTGCTGTTTCAGCGTCATGGCACATGAGGCATCTCTTCCTCGAAGTTGCACACTGTAATTTAACCATATTCAGTCTGCAGCAGACAGTTTTTTATGTTCAGCCAAAAGTTGGGCCCCTCATTTGAATGACCTTGCTCAGCGTCTGTGTGGTCTTGTGATGGAAATGGTGCGTCTGCCTTTAAGCATACCAGCAGTTTACTGAGTGTGTGTGTGTGTGTGTGTGTGTGTGTGTGTGTGTGTGTGTGTGTGTGTGTGTGTGCGTGTGCACACGCAGATGTGGACTACAGTGAGCTGCTCATTTGATTTATGGTTCCATAAGTAGCCAGGTGCTGGTAGGGAATCTCTCGCTCCAGTGGGAGTGCTCTGTGTAAACAGACCATATAACATGAGTCCTGCAAAGACATACTATCTGCACTGATGCGTCTTTAAATTCAGTAGGTCATCAGCCCACATACTTCCGCTGTCCGTTTATGGACGTAACATAGGCTTTTTGCACTCAAACCCAAAAGTCATCAGAAGGAAATATGCCATAAATGGACTTTCCGTTTGTGGAAGTTATACAGGCCATTATGAAGTCGGTTCACTGTGGTATGCATGCATTTTTTTTGAATCAATTGAGAGGAATATTATGTTATATAGTTGACAAAACTAGCTCATCTCGTGGTCTAGTATTAGCATTTTTTGAGCTTTCAATTACTTCTTCTATCTTGTGAGCTTCATCCGCAGATGGGGTTTGCACAGATTTCCATTTTTCTTACCACTTAAAGGACTTTTGAATTCTTGTTGACTTAAAAGTTTCTATGTTTGTTCTTTGCCTCATCGATCAAGGAGAGGTCCACAAAGTAAGAGGAAAAATTGTACGTTTACAACTCCCTGAAAAACAGGCAAACTCCATCTGCTGATAAATATATGAAATTAGCTTCAGAAAGGCTTATCAATAGACCTTGAAATGACCAAAAGATTAAAAAAATGTTGACAATTCAACATTTGTCCCTAATATCCGGTCTGCCAATGGGTCAGTGGACCAGATTTTGTGGATTAATTTCCTTCCTTTCTTACTTGTACTTACAGGTGTTCCCAGAGTGACAGAGCTGGAGAAGGAATTTGCTGATTTTGACATCTTTGACGATCCCGAGTCACCATTCTCCACTTTTAACTTCCAGTACTCCAACGAGGCCTTCACCCGACTCCATGACCTCATGGAGTTCAACACTCTCAACAACCTGGAGGTCAGTTTTGTCCTCATAGTTTGCAAAGGTTTTTCACATGAAACACTAGTGATGTCTGCAGCTTGGAAGACTCACGGTAATCTTTGTTAATCCACAATCATTCAGTGTTGTCATTCGGAAAGTTTTACATTTTTGTTTTGTCACTATACAAATATCTGTTTGTTGTGCAACATCAAAACTTCAAAGTCCCAAAGGCCTTCAAGACCGGATACTACAAGTTTGGTCTAGTTCATAGTAGGTGTGTTGCCGTGAGAGGTCAGAATGACTTTCACTCACTGTACCTGAGTCACTTCCATGTGATGCAATGTATTTTTTGATTTCACTGGAAGGTCAACTCATTCAGACAGACTAATACTTACTGTCAACAGAGATTTCACAACCCTATGGATTCTAGCACAGTTAGGCAGCACTCATTACAGCTTGATATTACGTCGATCCAAATTTATGTATGAGTGAGAATAACCAGCAACACCAAAGTTTGGTTATTCTTGCAGCATTAATTAAGATGGCCACGGCACTTGAAACAAATGTGTGTACTATACTGATCTTTGTACATTAAAAGCTGTGTCAATCGACATTTTTAGCCATGCTGGTGGACGGCTCCAGGGATGGTAATGTCAGTTGGTCTGCTACCTTGGTCCAGATTGGAATATCGTGGATGACCTAAAGACCTCTTCCTACAACAAATGATATTTAATGAAACCGCCCAACTTTTGATGTATGGCTTTAAGGCAGGGTTGGTTATCTTGAGAAACTATAGTGGTCACTAGATTTTAAATATTATCCAACAGAAAAAAACCCGCCCAGTGTTCCCAACTCTTTCCCAGTGAAAGCAGGTAGCAGCACTCTTTCCAAAAGTCGTTAAATCTAGCAAGAAAGTTGTCGAAAGATTACCAATCCTAATTCAATGGATTCGAGATAGCATATATATTTTTCATTGATGATACAATATTCATTGATACAGTTTGGCATTTTGATATTTAATCCATGTATTTGTCCCCCACAGGTGATTAAAGAAGCCATCAAGGATTGCGTCCTGGCCCGAAAGGAGAATCCCTCAGGCCTCTCCATTCCCTTTTCCCTCAGTGCGATCCCGAAAAAGAGGTTTCTCAAAAGAGATTCTCGGGGCAAAACCGTGGAACCTTATGTGAAATGAGAACCAGCAGCCGGACCTAAGACTAGGGTATAGCGAACTTTCAGTCTTAAAGAAAAGCGTTTTCTTTTTGGAAAATGCTATCATGGTGATCTCTTTCCTGTACACTTTGAATCAAACTTTTAACTTTGTAAAGAACCATAGTGTGTACTGATTAAAGCCTTATGATTGCATTCATATACAACAACACAGTGAGAATTTTCATCTGGCTTCATTTGCACGAATGTGACTTCTGGGGAAACTGTTTGTTTGTTGAACACAAACAGCTGAATTTTTTCTGCTGGCAGTGAGAGAGACTGGATGTTGAGAATTAAACACTGCAGTGTGAATGGATTGTTACAGCCAACATCTGGCTCCATCACAAACAGGAGATTGTTAATATTTACTGAAAATCCTGAACTATGTTGTCTTTTAGTTCTTTACAAGTGAAAGAAATGTCCACTTCAGATCTATTTGTTCATTCACTTCAATGCAATTTTCTATTCCAGTTGCAACAGTCCCAATTCATATGGATGCCTCTTGGTTTTCATGCTGCCTAGAGCAAAGCTGCATTTGCATCTGTACTGCTGACTCAGCATATCTAAATCTAGCTTGGAGCTGTGTGAATGCACTGTAGGAAGCAGCATCTGGACCTGTAACTGTTTGTCAGTTGAACTATTTACATATTGACTGCAGAACATGCAAATCCCCATATTTTGTTTTTTTTGTTCACTGGATGGCTCGTCTAAACATGTAATACTTTTTGAAAACATGGAAGAGGAGCTCGTAACCATTGGTTTTGTTTGATGGCAACTCCTAAACACGCCAAGTGCACCCACCCTGGATACCTCAAACATCTAAATGATGCTTACCCACCTACCGGGAAGGACCACTCCCTGCTTCCCTCTAGGGAGTGTCTCATATTAAAGCCACCATTTTGTTATAAACAAAACTTGATGCCATAGAAACGGCCCCACTCTTTATCTACCCCTCTCTTTCTTTGCTGTCTCTAGGTGTGTTTATTTTCCTGATCATGTTGTTTCAGGCTGCGTTTTAGACACAGGTTTTGTTTTTGCGGGCCATTTCCTCACCCATCAAACACAACTCGCTGCAGGACGCCTCCAACAGCCCCGTACGGTGAAGAGGAGCTCACGTCAGGCTGGGTGGAGGTGGTGAAAACGCTCGCAGCTGAAAACGGTGTCTCTCGCCGGCACCCAGTGGAATTTTACACACTACACCTACAGCAGTGGAGAACAGGAATATGACACGCTACACTTATACCTGCAGGGGCCCAAAGGCTGCACACAGAGCAGGGGAATTTTACACCGAAGCACCTCCAACACCTATGCTCATGTTTCAGCCCCGCTGGTTTGGAAGAAACTGTTCTGCAGTCCCTCTGTAGGAGTTCATGACCCAACAAACCTATGGAAAGTGCCTTTCTCCTGATATCTTTTTTCATTTGTTTTCTGCAGTCAGCTGCATTGTCTTAGGTTTTCTTTCAAGAAATAGTTTTGGGAATACATGTATTCACTTTCGTTTATTTGACACCAGTCTGTTACATACGAGTCAAAGTCATGACGTCACGTCTGATCTGGCTTATGTTCTACAAGCTTCTGTTACTGTTACGTTTCTAGACCCTAATTGCTAGTGGTGAGGCCGGTGTATTTTTGAGAGACCCATAAACAACATGGCTGCAGGGAAAAACTTTAAAAAAAAAGAAAGAAGAACAAAGGGGGAAGGCAGCATATATGGCCTAAGTCTCTCATCAAGGTGAAGTGATTGCACCTGAGGGGGCGGTTCCTTTCCTTTGCTTTCTTCTCTGCCTCAGGTGTGATCATGTAATCTGATGGTATATGTTGTTTCCTTGTTTTCAATCTTTAAGCTAAATTTACCACCTGCTGGCTGTAGCCTTATATATTAAAGACAAATGAGAGTAGTACTGATCTTTACATCAATTAAGCACATTCTCACAAATGTTTAAATACTACTTTAAACTAAACTAAAGTTGTACTCAAGGCAAAAAAAAAAACAAGCATTAATCTTTTTGATTGACATTTTGTCAAACTCTGTGAGCTATCACTTTTATTTTAGGCGTGGTCATTTTAAAAGCCCACACAACCTGTAGTAGTTTTATAATTTTCCTAATATTTGTCATATTAAATTTGTATGATTTCTGACAATGTTTACAAATGTTTAAGATACTAAACAATGTCATGTGATCATTTATGCACATCGTAAAAAAAGAAGGATAATAAAAGAGAATTTATCTTGTGTGCAATGTTTTCTGTTAAAATATATCCTTCCTCCGAGATCCCTCCACAGCAGATAACAAAGAAGTTCAGGGTCGCCATTCCAGCTTGTTTTGTTTCCTTTTGTTTGGATGATATTTTAAAAAACATTGGGTGGCAGGATTTGTCTTTTAACATATGAATTGTAAGTTTTAGTGTGTGTTGGACTGTAGCTCAAAGCAGAGATGTGGAATCCCAGCGTTTGTCTTCGTGGCTGCTTGACTAACATATTTAAACCCTCAGTGATGTTATCTCAGAAAACCTACAAATGAATACCTTACAACAAAGCTCGTAAAGGGTTGTTTTATTGGAGGAAAGAAATATTCTCTCACCTGTTCCTTTGTAGGATTGTCCTGTCTTAAAGCTACAACAGATCTTTTAACTTAACTTAATGTTTTAAATTATTTTAACTCTGAAGCACATTTCAAATTAAACTGCATTACATCATATCACACGACCCAGTACTACCCAGCATTTGAAAACGGTTGTGTAATGTCTTCTGTTGCAGAGGCAGACCCAGACGTTGTAAACTTCTCTTAACTTCTTTCACTCTCTCAGCTTCACTCATGTATTCCTGGAAAAAAACTTCTTCATGTTCATAGTCCATAAACTAGTTATCTAGCTCATTAGCTCACTAAGGTGACAGGATTGAATGAAACAAAAACAAAAAAACACATGACAGTGTTGGCAGACCTAGATATGGTGAAATATAAGAAATCACACTGATAAGGTCTTCAAGGTTATCTTGGTTTGGGCTCGAAGACGACAATTTTACAACAAAAAGCGTGTGTTGCAAAAAGGGGTTGGATGAAGATTTAAAGATGCGGTTGTTTACCAGACAGGGTCTAACAAAAAGATGCATTTGGTTGCACAGGGGACAAAGCAAGCCTCTATAGAATGGCCAAAAACTGATGAAAACATGAAGATAAATATTATACAGGCAAATATTAAATCCAACAACAAATCTAATGTATTGCATGAATCATATTGATCATCCACAAGAAACGATTATCATAGAAACTAGGCTATCATATAGAAGAATAGGAGGCAGTCATATTAAATTGCCTAAAATAATTCAAACAACAAAAGCAATCTGGCAGTTGGCTGTATTGATACGTACAACAGGAAAACTCTTGAGTGTTACGATGAAAACGTATTCATTAAGATGTCGGTAAAAGTCGAGTAGATCATATGTTTGCAAATCTTATGGTCAAAACTTACTTTGAAAACAATTTATACTTTATAAAAAGTTAGATTACTTAACATGCTCTAACTGTGTAAATTTAAAGGGTTGGTTCATCAAATTACAAAAAAATGACACATGTTTGTGTTACCTCGGGTGGTATCTCTCCCCATTAAAATAGTATTGGTTTTATTTAAGTTTTGAGCGTCCGTTTTAAAAAACAAAATATTGTCCCTGCTGTGAGCAATTCCATTTACCTCCACTGTATTGGGGAGGTTGCAGAAATCTCAGACACAAAATAAAACCAAAACTATCTACATGGGTTAAAACTTGTAAAGTTAAGAGCCACAGTTTATGTGTTTTTTGTACTTTGGATTCACTGAACCTTAAAATGCACATTGAATTGTGCATTTTATGTGCTGTAAAGAATTAAATCCTAAAATTGGATATCTCCAAATGACACCAAAACTATCTGCATGGATACGTAGTACTATTACTGTGGTGTAGAAAGAACATTTTCTTTGTATTTTCTTTGTCAGTGATTGTGTCCAAAGTCCTTACTAGCTTCATTACATTACATTACAGTCATTTAGCAGACGCTTTTATGCAAAGCGACTTACAATAAGTGTGTTCAACATAGGTATTCAAGAGAACTATAGTCACCAGAAGTCATAAGTGCATCTCCTTTTTTTAAACAAGCATCTAAGAGCATAAACCAGAGCAAAAGTACAGTGCAGAAACAAACGGATACGAATACAATAAGTGCAACAAACTAATATGAATACAATAAGTGCTCAGGGTAGTACTTCTTGAAGAGGTCAGTTTTCAGCCCGTGCCGAAAGATGGGCAGCGACTCTGCTGTCCTGACGTCAGTGGGGAGTTCATTCCACCACTGTGGGGCCAGGACAGAGAACAGCCGTGACCGGGTCGATTGGCCGCAGGGACCTCTGAGCGACGGGGCAACCAATCGCTTCCCTCATATCTAGTCAGAAGTCGACTGATAATGTGTTATTTAACAAATCTGAAAGCATCAGCATCACTGTTATAATACTGCAAACATGTCCTAAGTAGCTTAATGTGATGTTACAAAACAACACACCAGAACCACCTTCGCCTCCAGAAAGCAAGAAGCCACCCACAGTCCCTCCCAGACTGAAGACCTGCTCCAACGCAGCACCACTAATTAATTACATTCCCCAATTAAATCATCATCAAAGAGCAATATTCCCCTCATATGAAAGTACTTATTAAGTGCTTAGGATGCTTTGCAATGCTGTTAGTCCTTTTCTCTGGCACGGAAGCACCTGGTCCTGCGCCCAACAGATTTGACATTGAAATCTGGGAGACCAGACAGTTTCTCGGAGGCTTTTTCAAAGTTCATCCCCTCTGCAATGCCTGTCTGTCTCAGTGCCCGCTGTACGGCAGGAAGGGCTTGTTAATTTGCACATTCACGTGAAGGTCATGTATGTGCCTGTATCCTCGCCTTTTGATGTGTTGAGTCATTCACATAGCGCAGACGGGTTGGGGCACCCCACAAAGCCCACAATGAGGGCACTCATGACCAATGCACGCAAGGCTGTGTGTGTGTGTGTGTGTGTGTGTGTGTGTGTGTGTGTGTGTGTGCGCGCGCGTGCGGGAGAGAGGGAGTGGAAGGTAGATGGATAGAGAGAAGGAAAATAAATGTGTACGTTTTCATGCAGGGTATCTATTGACAGTCTACAGGAGAGCAGTGGTGGGAGGTTAAATGAGACTCCTCAGTTTCCCAATCATAATATCCTGCTTTTTCTAGTTTTACATCCACAGAGACATGTCCGGTGCATTGAGCAACACTTTCTTACTGTCCTGGAACAGATCAGTTCCTGAGTCAGATAAGTCAGATATGGTGTGTGTGTGCACGTGTGTGTTGGAGGGAATGGAAGGTCCAGAATGCGTAATACATTAAGTGATGATGATGGGCGTCTGGTTATGTTCTAAAATGGGTAAGCAAGCTTTGAAAGTTACATAAATGGCGGGAGGTCTGGCGTCATTTCAATCAAATATCCTGCATTTCTACACCACCTAATCTTTTGGATTAACCCTCCACTATATCCCAAATAACAATATCGACAGGGCTAATGCAAAGTATTAATAGCCACATTCCAATTAAAAGAGACAACTCCACAAACCAAGCCAGAAATCTAGGTGTAGTTATGGATTCAGACCTCAACCTGAACAGCCTCATCAAGACAATTACAAAATCAGCCTCCTATCACCTGAAGACTATATCAAGGATTAGAGGACTTGTGTCTCAACAGGATTTGGAAAAACTTGTCCATGCATTTGTCTTCAGCAGACTGGACTACTGTAACGGTGTGTTTACAGGTCTCTGTAAAAGGTCAATCAGGAAGCTGCAGCTCGAGTCCTCACTAAGACCAGGAGGGTGGATCACATCACTCCAGTTCTGAGGTCTTTGCTCTGGCTTCCTGTCCAACAAATAATTGACTTTAAAATCCTGCTGTTGGTTTATAAAGCACTGAATGGTTTAGGGCCGAAATACATCTCTGATCTGCTGCTACCTTATGAACCATCCCGACCCCTTAGGTCGTCTGGGACCGGTCTACTTTCTGTTCCCAGAGTCAGAACTAAACATGGAGAAGCAGCGTTCAGTTTCTCTGCTCCACATATCTGGAACACAGTCCCAGAAAGCTGCAGGTCTGCTGAGACCCTCAGCTCCTTTAAATCAAGATTCAAGACTTTTCTGTTTGCTGCTGCCTTTAATTGAACCAGATTCGAGGATATTAATCAATTTCCTGCATTTCTGCATTTTACTAGTGTATTTTATTTCTTACACTGCTTTGTAGTGTCCTAATGACTGTTTTTATTGTTTCAATGAATGTTCTTAATTGTTTTTAAATCTCCTTTTCTTTTGCCTTATGTTTTGATGCTTTTAATGGTTTTATGTGAAGCACTTTTAATTGCCTTGTTGTTGAAATGTGCTATACAAATAAACTTGCCTTGCCTTTTGATTTGGAAATGAAAAATCAGTTCGGCATTATGGAGACAGCTACAATCATATTTTTTAGCTGATTTGAAGTTTGGCTGGAGTCAGTGGGCCACACAGGTTAAAGTCTTTTCTTATGTTCTATTTTTAAATGATAATATCGAAGGATTTAATTTAAATAAAACGCAGAAGGAGGTGACACAATGGTGTTTGAGCCTATAATGGCCCACTGATGAAAGTTCTGCAATATTTATATATTTGCAGTATCATCAAATGGGTGTCAATGCCGACATTCCCGAAAAAAAATGCTGTATTTCTCAATAGTATGGACCTACACAAAAAGACAAAACGATGCAAATAATTATGAAAACTGGAAGCGAAAGTATCAACAAAAAGCTAAACTCTAAGAACAATTCCAATGCTTTCACTCAGAAATAAATTCTATATCAACCAGGACTGAAATCTTAAGGATTGCCACTTTAAATGTTTCTTACCTTTTTCTTACCGTCAGGCTCCTGTGTGGATTGACAGACTGTGATTGACGCCCAAAGCGACGGCTTCGACTGAACCAACTCAAAGGTCGGTCCAAAAATGTGTGATTTTTTTTATTACTTGTTTTTGTGATTTGCTGAAAATAGTAAAATGATCATTGATATAAGCTACTTAAATATAATTACCTGATTGCAAGGATTGTTTGATGTAAATTTGTTTTTTTTAAAGACAAAAAGTTGGGAAGCAAAACATTTGCTCCCCCTATTTGAATGATGGGAATGCATTTTGCTGTACTTGCTTCATTGCTTATCCTTTTGACCCCTTGAGGCAAATGCCCAGCATTCTAGACAGGTCAGATAAGGAAATTAAAAATTCCATTTCCAACAAAAAAAAGGTATCAATAAAAAGTAGGCGTATCCCACTTTCCATACTTCCCAGAAACGGCCTGTGTGTGTCATAAACTAGTTTGTCTTGGTCAGGATCCACACATACTACTGTGTGCCTGTTACCCTTGGAAACATCACAGGACCGCTATCCAGAAGTTAACATGAGTTCATATGAGTTTGAGGATGAGAAGATTGGAAGGCGTCACAACTTTCACCCATTTTTCTGGCAGTTTAACAAGCGGATATACAGTATCTGTTTGTGTTTACTCCAAATTGTCTCTCTGATTCAAATTAAGATGAGTGTGTGCATTAACAACATGGAAAGTGTGTCTTACTTCCTGCAAAGACAAAAATGCACTTTCATGTGACGCAGGAAAACCCTGACATCACAGAGCCGAGGCGGTGGTCTACATTAGTGGCAAAGTAAAATAAATACTTGCGCCACTGACCTAGTCAGTGGGTGCAGTGATTCAGTAAACACACGCACATGCACACACACACACACACACACACACGTACACACACGTGCTGTTTGTGAAGATCATCTGTTTGGATTCCATCAGATGAAGCAGACTAAATCCTCATCATCATAGGGAGGAATCACACATTTACGGCACCACCGTGTGTGTGTGTGTGTGTGTGTGTGTGTGTGTATGTGTGCAATATTCTTGTACACATGTTTTTCTGGAAAGAGATATCTTTATCTCAGTGAAACTAATTCTTAAAATGACTGCAACCAACAATATGAAAATAAGCTGGCTGTAACATTTGCTGCTAAAAAAATGTACATTATGTAAATGGTGAAATAGTTTCACCGACTCTGTGGATTATTAAAATTGTTAATGGTCAAACTTTTTAGTATTATTTTGCTGAAGGCAAAACCATTTGGTGCTAAAAGTTTTATGTGAGTTTATTTTTCTTTTTTCTTTATCCACCTCCTAATGATCCAGCATCTTAAAATATTTCGGCACCCAACTTTTACAGCAATTTATTGTATACTAATAAAACGTTAAACTATCTTGGAATATATGACTATTGTTAATTGTATGCAAGTAAAATGACAATAAAGTTGAATGTAAATTAGGATATGGCCATGTTACTGTTATTTTTGTATTCGTGTATGGGTTTGTTTGTTTTTTCCAAGGAATTTTTCATACCTGCCCACTGCCATTAGACTCTATAATATATCACCTCTGGCCAAATCAAACCCAAGACTATAACACTGCTACACTGTTGTTGCTGCTGTTGGTGATCTTGTGCACTACTGTTTTGTTTATTTTTTCCTACTTAGTTAATTTAATACGATTCTATTTAGTGTATATACTGTGCATTTTTATTACTTTATTTTCTTAAATTTAATAGGTCCTGCTCTGTTATTTTATTATATTGTATATATTGTGCATTTTCCATACTTAATATTTGTATTTTATTGTGTAACCCTGTTTGCTGCTGCCACAGACAAATTTCCCCTTGGGGATGAATAAAATATATTTCTATTCTATTCTAAAGAAGACTCTGGAACAACACTTACTTAATTACTTCATTTCCAAAAAAATTAAGTTCCACAGCTAAATAAATAGAAAAATGGAAACCTTGTGGTTTTATTTTTTATATGTATTAACGTTTCTGGTGCTTTGTCAAAACAGCGGTTGGCTCATGACTTTGACTTGCAGTAAATAGTTATGTTAATAGTTATATATCTTGTGTCTTGTCGCCCTCTATCGACCAAAAATAAGAACTACAGACGATGACCTGCAGTTTCACATTTTGCCCACTAGGGGCGATGTCATATACGCGGAAGCAAAAAAACAACACCCAGTGGAAAAGGGAGGAAGTCAGGAAGCTGCTCACTTGTGACAGTCCCGTATCAAAGAAAAGCACAGTAGAGAAAAAAGGCCGGACTTGAGCTTGTACCCTTGTCCTAAAAACTCTACCGACATGTCGAAGAACACCGTGGCCGCCCGCTTCAGGCGAGTGGACGTGGACGAGTACGACGAGAACAAATTTGTGGACGAGGAGGAAGGAGGGGAGAACCAGCTGGGTCCCGACGAGGCAGAGGTGGACTCCCTCATCAGACAATATCCTTACATGATTAGCTAGCCGGTCTGTTAGCATGCGTAGGAAAACCAGACACAGCCAACAAAGTCTGCGTCTTTAGGGCTGCGATTTATCCGCATATTCCGTCTTTATGTGTCGCTTCTTGTTTGAATGGGCGTTTTAGTAAGCAGGCCAGTCACTGTCCAGACTTGCCTGGCTGTCACATTCCAGGGATTTCTGCTCCAAGACGGAACAGGCTTCTTTTTTTAAATGTATGTACATCCAAGCTAGTATGGATTTGCACAACTAACGTTAGAAGTTCACCATTTAACCTCTTAAAGCTTTAATTAACCGCCGTGTTCTTTGAGGACTCGTGCGACGTCGTTGTGGTTTTGCATGTTAGCTTCGTAAGAACAAGTGTTGCAGAAACAGAAGTTTGGCTCACGTGCTAAACAAATGTATTTTCTCTTTGGTACAGCAGTCTTTGTTAGGGTACGCTTGTCTACGGAAAGGCTCGGAGGTGTTTCTGTGAAGTCTGCAGTTTCAGTCATGTAGGCCTTATAAGGCATGAAAGTGCAGCACTTCCTCATTGCAGAAGACCGTTTCCTCCCACCACATGTTACAGTACAGGAGAATGAATGTCTCACAATAACTATACTCTATATAGGAACATGAAAACCGAACTGACTGGCCTTTATTTACACTCAAGTTGATCTAAAGAGGGATATCTTCACAGCTGGTATGGAGAGGAGGAGTTATATAGTAAGTTAAAGCAATAACTCAACTTTCAATGCACACATGAACATGTGAGTATTGTTTCAAGACAGACTTGAAAAAAATGGCATTTTCATTTGTATGCTTGTATAGAAGACAATGTTATTAAGTGTGTTTTACATTAAAATACATGTGCAAAGACCCCAAGGAACCCACAGCTATCCTAAAAACATACATCACACAGACACACACACTGATCACTCATCGTAAACCTTTGCATTTGGAAGTGGACACTGTTGTGACAGGTCTCAGGTCATCAGGCAGGATCAGGATCTGATTCTAAGTACAGTTATAAAAACACTAGTAATGGCTCATGTACCATCTTTGGGCTCGTAGCTCAACATTGTGACTAGGAGGCTGTGTTGCATCCTTAACCCTCCCGGCACAGGAAATCTCATGCAGGCTTTACAAGCCGTCTTGAAGAACCCGCCAATCAACACCAAGAACCAGAACGTCAAGGTGGGTTCGGTCAATAATGGTTCTTGTTCTTCTAATGATTCACTTTGTCGGCTTTGTCTTGGTAGTGTAGCAGATGTTGCGTAGGTGTGTATGGCCATTTAAACGTGGCGATGTCTGCTGATGGACCATTTTGAAATGCAGCTATATACGTTTTTTTTCCTGAACTTTTACTGATCTGCCCTTTTTTTCTTTTCAGGATCGTGCTGAGGGTTTGGTGCTGAAGGTGCTCAGCGCCTTTAAGAGCAGCGACATTGAGAAAGGGGTGCAGTCCCTCGACAAGAACGGCGTGGACCTGCTGATGAAATACATCTACAAAGGCTTCGAGAGGCCATCAGAAAACAGCAGCGCGGTCCTACTGCAGTGGCACGAAAAGGTAAATGTTTGCACTCCTAAAAGACAAACTTTGATTCATCAATAAAATTAGCTTCTCTGGAGGGAGAAGTTGACATTTTAGATGATTCCGATGAGCAAGCTTGAAATGAAAACCCCTCCAGTACCCTGAGGTTGGTTTCTCTTAGATGCAGCTTTAGCAGTAACTCTTATCATGTCAAAGAAATGATGAGAGAAGAACGATGGTCATCACTGATGTCACGTGTGAATGTTTCTTTAACATCATCATGTATGGGGTCCGTAGTTTGAGGCCATGGTGGGACTCTAAAGGCCAGTTTGAGATGGATTAAACAAGATGCCACAACTCTGCATACAGGATGAGCAACCAGAGTTTAACAGAAACTCAGTTTCAGATGTATAAAAATAACCTGACCATATTGTTTTTTTGTCCTGTGCCTTCAGGCTCTGGCAGCTGGAGGAGTGGGCAGCATCGTCAGGGTACTAACGGCGAGGAAGACGGTCTAAAAGAGGAGCGGAGGATCTCTGACGCATACAGGAGACCATGTAATCATAACAGATGGCAGTGGGACGAAAAGGAAAAACTCATTTAACCCAATGTGATCCTGCTGCGTTCAAAGTCAAATCTGGGTCACATTAGGTTTTAAAACTTGTGTTTTTCTTCTTTCTTCCCATTCATGATCACGGCCGACTAAATCATGTTCCTCACGGGGTGCTACAGAGAGCGTCTCATGTGCTGCTTCCTTCATCTAATTGCAGAATCCCCCCCCCCCCCCCCCCCCCCCCCCCCCCCTCCCCCCCCCCTCCCC